GAAAGAAAGAAAGAAAGAAAGAAAGAAAGAAAGAAAGAAAGAAAAGAAAGAAAAGAAAGAAAGAAAGAAATGGTATGAATCCAGTTCAACATCAGTGAATTTCTGCTCTATGGAACAGAATATAGACATGAGCAGGATACTCCTCTTGCTCTAAGCAAGCCAAGGGAAGGTAAAGCAGGTCCATAAACAGTTGTAATTAAAGGCAGAATGAGATGAAGTGCTTTGAGGAAAGACAGGTAAAAAACTGCAGCACCAAGAGAAGAGATCTCATCCCACAGTTTCTATAAGACGTGGCATCTGACCTGGCCTTTGAGAATGTCTAAGGTCTCCACAGGGAGAGTTGGGCAAGGAGAAAATTCCAAGAACAAGGAATAAGGGGAGTTGGGAATAACTGAGCTGACTCACTTGGTGATGCTCCAACGAGAATTTAAATGGGGAAAAGACTCAGATACGAGAAAGATATAAATGTTCAACACATTTTAGCCCGTCCTCTGAAAGACGGTACCTTTAAAAACGTGTGACATAAAGAACTAAAGAGATAACCATTTTTAAGAGGATGGGTGTCACCAATGAGCCATTTGACTTATAATTTAGAGCTTAAACTGTAATAAAATTTCAGTCTCTGCTTTATTGCCATTGCACTAGTTCTGTAGTAACATGGATACATTTGGCTTTTTTTTTTTTTGAGACAAGGTCTCGCTGTGCCATTCAGGCTGACTTGAACTCACTGTGTAGCCCAGGCTGGCCTCATACTCAAAGCAATCCCCCTGCTTCAGCCTCCTGAGTGCTGGGATTACAAGCATGTGCCACCACCCCTGGCTACATTTGAGATATTTAAAAAAAACTAATAATGGTTTATTGAAGAGTTGGTCATTTCTTATAACTCCAAGTTAGGTAAATTTCCTTAATAGAACTTTTGTTGGAGTTTAAATTTGGTTAGGTGAAAAAACAAAACCATATATATATAGATATAGATATCCATCTATCCATCCACTCATCCCTAGCTACAGAAGGAAGAAATTGAGTCAAATGTAATTTTGCTCTGCTTACTTCTGACTATAAAGAAAAATGCTGTTTCACTTGCCCCTTCCCCTCACTCTTTACTTTGGGGCTCTCCCAGGACCCCCCACTAAGGTATTTACAGGGATACCGAATGGCCGTGCACGTCCTCCTCCTGCCCCTGGGTCCCAGACTGGTAGAAACAAATGTGGCTAAATTGGGAGCAGGACCTCTCAGGCTTGGGCCTGGGATGGGAGCCCTGAGCCCTTGGAGGACTTCACAGCCTTGGCTGTTAAGTGCCCCCCTAACACCTACCTTGTGACAGTTCTCCTCAGGGTCAAGCAAAATACATTTGTAAAATGCTCGGTACAGTGCCAGCAGCAGCAAAAGGCAGCTTTAAAAATGTGTCTGGGTTGAGGGCTGCATAAAGAAGTCATCCTTTCTGAGGCAGCAGTCCCATTCTGAGCAGCCGCCTGCTCCGAGCAGGGACTGTTGAGTGGAAGTCACCGGGAGATTCCCAGGTGCTCACAGTTCCCCTCCGCCTTCAGACATTCATCAGTCAAGTCTGTGAGGATGTCCTGTCCGGTCCCCTGGACTCTGCCGTGCAGCTGGCCGGGCTGAGACTGTTGACAAACATGATGGTCACCGACGAGCACCAGCACATGCTGAGCGGCTACATAGCAGACCTGTTCCGCGTGTTACTGACTGGAAACGGCACCACGAAGGTACGAGGGGACGCAGTTATTTCCTGAAGGGTGAAGAGCTGTGGCCTCAAGCATGATAAGATCAAAACTGAATTTCTGGGTCACCCATCTTAAGTTATGTAGCTCAAAAATGATTATGTTTAGTCAGAGTTTATTAAAAATCTTCACAGGGCCTTAGAAAAGCATATTAGGTTATCCCTTATATTAAAAATTACCATATAAGAAGCATGTGCTGTCTCACTTGTGGATGGTCACTCGCTTTTCTGAGACTCACTGATGTGCGGTAGCTCACTTCCCGCCGTCAGAAGTAGGAGTAACATGATTAAGAGCAGTCGGGGAGTAATACAGTGACCAGCTGACTTTTTTGCTTGCCTGCATGTGTTCAGTGCACAGTGTGTCCGTCCCTCGTGTGGCGTTAGCACAGGCGCACAGCATCGAACGCCCTTTCCAGCCTCTCTGCCCACTCCAGGCCTTGATCTCCTCGCCTTGAGAGCGCTGTCTCCCTACTCCTATTATACATCTTTTATTTTGCTCTTTATTTATGATTTGAGTTTCTCGTATAGGAGAAACCATGCTTGTCTGATTTATTTCACTTAAAATTGTGGTGTTAAGGTGCATCCATTTTTCTACAAATGACTCAAGATTCTCAACCTTCTGTATGACAGAGTAGAACTCCATTGTGTGTAAACACATTTTCTCTGTGCATTCATCTGCTGATGGGCACATAGACTGCTTCCAAGGTTTAGCTATTATGAATTCTGTGGCTATAAACATGCACGTGTCCCTGTATTGTGATGTCTTTAACTCTTTCAGGAAGATACCAGAAGGGGAATAGCTGGGTCAGATAGAATTTCTAGTGTTAGTGTTTTGAGGAATCTGCATACTGAGTTTCATAGTGGTGGTACTAGTTCACATTTCCACCAACAGTGGAAGGGGTCCTTTTCTCATGCAGCCTCACCGGCATTTGTCATCATCTGGTTTCTTGACGATGGCCATTCTTTATGGAGTGAGACAGGATTTCAGCGTTGTTTTAATTTGCACTTCTCTAACGGCCAGCACTGTTGAACATCTCTTCATATATGTATTGGCCATTTGTACTTTGAGGGCTACATTCACTTACCATTTGATTGGGTCTTTTTTTTTGGGAGGGTCTAATTTGTTTTTTGTTCTTTGTATATTCTAGATAGTAGTCCTCAGTCTGATGAATAGCTGGCAGTTTTTCCCCCATTCTGTAGGTTGTCTTTTCATTCTTGTGGTTGTTTCTTTTACCATGTAGAAACTCTTTGATTCGATGTGATCCCATTCGTTGACTCTTGATACTGTACCCTCTGTTGCAGCTAGGGTTCTGCAACTAGGCCTGTGAGTTTTACCTTTATCTTCCAGCAGGTTAAGAGTTTCTGTATAAAACTACTTCTTGTAGTAGTAGAGTATGAAGTGAGAGGAAAATGCCTGAGCATTTTAGGACCAAATGTGAAGCCATGCTCTGAATATCTGACACCACTACTGTGATTTCTGAGGATGTGACCATGGGAGAAGGTGATTATGAGAGAGCCTCACTCTAGCTCTACTTCTGTGTTTTTGAGGCATTTATGAGCTTTCCACATTGCCCATAGCCAAACTTATTTGGGTCTGATCCAAGATGTACTTAAGTCATTCAAAATTAAATGTAAGACTAAGTCCTCTTTTAGCAGTATTGCTGCATCCCCACACAATTCCAGCATGCACGCGCCCACCAGCCTTTCTCTCCAGTAAGCAAGATGACGTCCAGCCCTAGGCCCAGACACCTCCCCTCCTTACCCCAGCGTGCTCACTGTAGGAAAAGTCTGTCCTGCGCCTGACTCTGCAGCTGTGCTAGCCAGAACCCCAGGACGAACTACGGCCGAGTTCAGAGCCGGGAATTCTAGCCTTGGGCCTGTATGTGACTGTCTCAGACATGATCTGCTTTTCAGTATAATTTGTGACTTTTTAAAAGCTGACTCATACCACAATAGTATGTTCTAATTTTGTTTTATTTTCCATTACATTGCCTAGAATGATATTTCTGGGATAGAGTATTTGGGGTGTTTTACGGGGGAAGTTCTGCCTAGGAACCTTGCCACCAATGATAGCATTGTTTCTCCATAGAAATTGAATTTCAAGCTCTAATTTTCACGTAAACTTTTAGATAATCACCCATTGGTTAGTGCGAATATAGACCCATATTTTAAAATCTTAAGGCAGTGATCTCACTATACTGTAATGATTGTTGTGTGTATCACTGATTCATAAGTAAATACAGATCGCAGAAGGTGAATATAAATAAACCCTGTGCTTAATACATCTGCTACGACAGTGAACAAAGCTAACAGTTTAAAATAAATTTCGTGGAGTCTCCACAAGATGGCACATGTGAAAAGAGGGACAAGATAGTCAGGTTTTAGAGCCAAAATATAGAATATCTTTGTTTCATCTATAGTTGTCCTCTAATTGTATAAATTTTTCTTCACATTTAATTCCTTTCCGCAAAGCATAGAAAATCACATTTCACTACAAAATATTAACTGCTTACTGGTCTACTTCTCTCTGGCTGTGTGCCTGCCCTCGGTGACTACCAGTGGGCCTTCCTATTTCATGGACTTCATCCAGGCATTTTTCATAAGTTCAGGTGCATCTATTTCAGGCCTCTTGTTCCTGTTTTCCCAGCGCAGACTTCGCTGATGTCAGAGCCAGTGTTCTTTTCCTAACGTTTATCGTTGCTGGTGTTGATGGCCATTCAGGCCAGATGAACTTTGACTGTCCCTAGGGAGAGCACTAAAGAAGGGTCAGGTGTCGCCTTTACTTTTCTCCCTTAGGAGGCCTAACTTACTAAGAGCGTTTGTTTGCAAAACATGATCTCTGCGTCCACAGTTACAGGTGGTTGCCATTAGGGAGGGGAAAAACTCCAGAACGGTAGCTTTTGTCTTTGCCTTGTTCCCTTCTGCACCACTTGAAATTTTTATCATAACCATGTATTTTTATTAAAAATTTAAAATTGATAAAAAATACGATTAAACAATATCTATAAGATGATAAAAGGAATTGTAAGCATACAGTATGAGATACTGTGTGTGCATAAAGACCAGAAAGAAAACACAAAAACAACGTAATGACCATTTCTGGTCATCAGGAATAAGAGGGAACTTCCTCTTTCTTTGCACTTTTCTATCTTTAAAAATGTTCTAGGGCTGGAGATACAGCTCAGTGGTAAAGCACTTGCTTGGCATGCATGAGGTTCAGTCCCCAGGACCACCAAAAAAGCAAAAGTTCTGCAGTAAAATCTGTTGCCTTTGGAATTAAAAAAAAAGTTTAAATAAACACCCAGAAACAATATTTGCTACTTTCCCTTGACTTTATTACCTTCTCCTTTCACCTCACTTAAGTATCTTGTAGAAACTGTGGTTCACATGTTTTTAGGAGGAAATTCTATTTTAATATTTGTATTATTTTTCAGAAGTTAAGTGATAAGGATGCTGAAATTTTAGTCAGCTATTAAATATTTGTTTACTAATTGTTTATATCATTGTGCCTGTTTAAATGACTGTAAACATTTTTCACATAAAAAAGATAACCTCAGAGATTCCTAGTAATCTGTAAGAAAATGGCTGTATTACTTTGTTAGTCTTGGTAACCAAACTGATTCAGAATTTCCATATCCTCAGTAGAAATGAACTAAACTCTGAAAGGTTTTTTTTTGTTCCAAGAAACATATTTCACTTACCAGTAGTCATATAAAGATCACCGAACACGCATCAGATAAGCTTACGGGGTCAGGTGCGTGTGAGCGGGGACTGTGACAGCATGCACGGTATTCCTCCCATGTGCGTAACCGTCACTTGGCAGAGATCTGAGCAGCACCGCTCTGTAATAATTCCTCTGAGAGCAGGGCCAACAGCTTTAAGAGTTCAGAGAGAGACTTGGTGGAGTGGAAAGACTGAGCCCGTTTGACAGCACAGGCAGGACTTCACAAGGGGAAGGCAGTGAGAAGAAAGCGTGCCAGGGAGAGAAGATTCATGCCTGCTGGTCAGAAATAAACCAGAATTCTTATTTCAGGTTCAAGTTTTGAAGCTGCTCGTGAATTTGTCTGAAAATCCGGCCATGACAGAAGGACTTCTCAGTGCCCAAGTAAACAGATTACATACTTACTTTGTAAATACACGTATTTGTAAGATAGATCTGGAAACATTGACCCCAGAATGTTCCCAGGGATTATCTCTGAAGAGCACCATGAAGGTGTTGCTTTATTATGCTTGGCACATAGGAATCTCCCAAATGTTGTGTAACAAGCATACTCACAGAAACGGCAGAACCGAGTCCCCAGTATGTGCCGGGCCGGGCTGAGTACCGAGATGCACGGCACTTATCCCCTGGGGCCTCCGTCTAGTGGGGACAAAGATGTGTAACAAATGAATGAGACAGAAGCTGCTGTGCGTGCTCCGAAGGAAGGGTGCTGAAATGGCGTGGGGCCCACCTCCTGCAGGAAAGGGACCATCGTGTTCATCTGCTTAGCCCGGCCCTCTGCCCTCTGTACGGCACAAAACAGGGAGGAATCTGTGAGTTCTCAGAAAAACTGTAGGGTCGATCCTAAAAAAGGAAAGGATGTTTTTTCAAATGACCTCATTTTGGGATTCCAAGATCTTACTTTTTAGCTAAAATGCAAAACCTCTTTGCTTCCATTAGTATACGATGTAGGAGTGCGTAAGATTTTACACATCTAAGTTATGCAGACTTGTGACAGGATTTTTAGAGTGTAAAACAGTGTTTTCTGTGCAGTGATACTCATTGTTTCCTGTTGCAGGTGGGCTCGCCGTTCCTTTCCCTTGTTGATGGCTGTGTAGCACAGGAGATTCTTCTTCGGGTACTTACGCTGTTTCAGAATATAAATAACTGCCTCAGAGCGGGAGGCCGTCCAGCTGGCCAGCCTCCCTTCCCTAACGGTTCATTGTTTTCCCTACTATATGGAGAAGAGTGTGTCCAGAAAATGCAAGCTTTAGTTTATCATCATGACGTGGATGTGAGAGAAAAGGCTGTAACAATAACATCAAAATTCTGATTGGGTGTCGTATTTTCCAGAGGAGTGCAGTCCGCGCAGTAACACACAGAAACTTATTTTGTCTTCTTTTTTATAAAGGGATCCTCTCAGCTGCTGATTGAACTTCACATATCTTTAACACAGTACAGATTGACCATCCTCAACCTGACATGATGCTCAAAGATTTAGAATTTGAAGCATTTCCGATTTGTGGTTTTTGAATTGAGGATCCTCAGCCAGTAAAGTCTATGCAAATATTCCAAAGTTCCAAAAACTTCAAGTGTAAAACACTTCTGGCTCCCAGCATTTCAAATAAGGGATACCCAATGCATATAACTTGCTAGGTCTGCCAGTTCATTTTGGACCATTTTATTATACTAAACAAATGTAAGTTTGGATTGAAACCAGGTTTGCTATTAGCTGAGACACACTGCCTTCACACGAAGTGGCAGCGACCCTTTTATGTAGAAGACCCCCTTCTCCTGGAAGTGACTTACAGACTCATCTGAGACAGCATTAGTGTGGGATTCGCTCACCGTCTGAGAACTGCCACAAGGACAGCCTTGTCCTTTAGTTAGCAGTGAGGTCCCGAGTTCTCATCTCTACCTGCTAAGCCAGCCATAGTGCTTTCAGAAGTCTGCTGTAATCATCAGAATCAGTTCTCACCATTTCCAGTCAATAAAAAATAAAAACTTTTGTGGGAAAATGTTTCTTAGTACTCACCTACTCATAAGTACAAACTGTGTAATTTTTCAATAAAAAGGAAAAAACTGACAATGCTATATTTTTCCCTTGACAGTATTTATTTTCATCCATTTTTTACTAAAATTACAATATATGAACATTAGTATTTTTCTCCCATAAGCTATAACAACTTGATATATTTTAATTCAGCCAGGTTCTATAATATTCAAGTTCATAAACCCCATCATGCTTAGCACTGAGGAAATAAATATGCAAGCAGAAGGTTCCTTCTTGTGTACTTAAAGCCTTAAGAGAACTTTAAGTTTCATTTGTAAATATACAAGACTATTTCCAAAGAAAATTACAAATCCTCAAACTCAACAGTGTTCTCAGGGTTGTCCTGATACAGAAATCACACTCTGAAGAAATATTTTAACAGTAGAAAAAGGGTTTATATACCATGAAAAATTGAAATTTCCAGTGGGCTAGAAGAGTAGCATATGATGGCTAACAATTACACTTTTGTATGTTGGTAATACAATAAAGATACTATTAAATCCTGGAAAGGCACATTCTTCATAGTAATTTTTTAAAAATCTCCCTATTTAATACAAACATGTATTCAACATGTGCACATATTAAAACCAGGATTTGCTTTCAACGTGCTTTAGCAGCACTGGATTCTAAAACTCTTATTTTAGGCCGGGCATGGTGGCACAAACCTGTAATCCCAGCACTCAAGAGGCTGAGGCAGGAGGATCGTTGCCAAGTTTGAGACCAGCCTGGGCTACAAAGTGAGCTCGGAGCCAGCCTGAACTGCATAGTGAGACCCTGTTTCAAAAAGAGCAAAAAAAGTAAAAAATTAAAAATAAAACTATCTGGTCTGAGTAATTATACTTCGTAGATTAGAGCATTGATTCTGAAATGTTAGCGTAAAGGCTAATTTTCTGCTGTCCAGGAAAAACTCAAAGTGAAATACACAAATACATCTTTCTTACGTAGGTCAAGACATATCTTCACTTTCATTAGGTGAAAAGGTGTTACCAGTGTTGCTCAGGATGTTCACTAATGAAAGATGAACATGAGCTTGACTTTGATGATAAAAGAGATTAAAAGGTGTTCCCATGTACATTAGAGTGAACTGAAGGAAGAGAATAGACTTGTCTTTTCAAAATACATCTTCACTTTGCACATAAACCCTTCAAAACGTAATTGGAAACCACCCAGTGGGGTGGTTTTGATAAGGCATGATACTGATATTTTATGGATAAAATATCAGTGTAGGAGTATGAATGATAATAAAAACTAAAGCTGGTCAGGAAGCCTAGAAAAACAAAGCAGGCCCAATTAAATGGAAGTAGAACACAGTATTTTAAAGTGCTTGGAGGAGCTCAGTTAAAGAGTACATATATACAGAAATAACGCAGAGGCCGTTCATGGAGAGTAAGTACTCAAGCAAGACATACTTGGCTTGCTTTAGAGGTAAGAGATGACGTGCAGCTGGATGTGCAGCAACAAGGATATGACCTCAGAACACTGGCCCCAGAGCTGACCCCAAAATCCTCACTTTTTAGTGTACACAACTGCAAAGTTGATGCTTGTTCAGTTTTGTCCTATTTATTCTCTCTTAATGAGGATGTTTTTTGTGCTTCAGTGCTCCAGGTCACACATACTCACATACATTATAAACACACACACTGCACAAACACTTCCCTTTGGCTGATTTGCAACTTCAGTAAAAATACTCAATTTCGATACAGATCACTTGCTTTAGCTATTATTTCCCAATTTATAAAATGAGTGCGGTGAAGTTAGTCTTCAGTGCTTCATGTCCTAATAGCTGCTTAAATACGCTGCAGCAGGATCAAGACATTGTCAAAAGCAGGAGCCTATTTTCAGCTTTCAAAGTGTACCTACCCACACAAGGCAGTGGTATCTTAAAAGCATGTTCTCCTTTAGATCTCTAAAGTGCTTTTTAAAATCTATTTTACGGTTTGGAGGTAGGTCAAAATTATCCTCTTGTTGCACATGAGGAAGAGGCACAGTGAGCACAGAGACTTTTCAGGTTAACAAAGAAAATTCAAAATGAAACAATGAAAATTAAAATTCCAATGTAGCGGTTAATGTGTCATGCATGCAAATCCAATTACAGAGCAATGTGTAGGTAGCATTTGGTTTAGAAAATGTGTCATTTTGTATGAATGAAGTTTATTTCACCAAGCCTGTGGATCCAAAACATGGAATGGCCCTCTAATAGGATCTTCTTCACTTCCCTGGTGATCCTCCTGCCTCAGCCTTCCAGAGTGTCAGGATTACAGGTATGCACCACCATGTATGGCTGGTAAAACTCAACTAGCTGACACCCAGTATCTATTTTTTCAACCATTTCTATTCCACAAAGGTGTTATCATACTTAAGGGTCATTTGATACAAAAATATATGACATCTTAATCATGTAAGATAAAATATTTATAAAATAAATCTTATCACTATATTTAAGATTAGAGCTAACAAACCAGAAATATGTATATAGAGAAAATGGAAAATGAAGAAAATAAAACAAAGTATATAGTCTATTCACATGTAAAATCTGTATTTCTCTTCTCTGAAATGCTTCATTATCGCTGTATTTGTGCTTACCAAAAGGTGTTTTAGAATAAAAATAGAAAATTTCACATATCGTTATCATCATCATACGCTTTCCCTTCCTCTGCCCAGATCAGAGAGCTGCTAATCTGGGGATCATGAATGTGCAGTAGAACATACTGTTCCCCGCTTTTAAAAATTTAAGTCATGGTAGTCATGAGTGCACAAGAATGTGAATATACTTAATGCCAAAAAAGCTACATTTTTAAATGGTTAAAATGAAGTTCATGTTATATGTATTTTATCACAATAAAAAGTAATGTCTTTACAAATGGTAATTTAGCCCAAACACCTATGTTTTTATGCTTACCAAAATATATCACCTAACATTTGGCATATAAGCTAATCTTGATAGAGTGAGAGCTGCTATGTTTATAAGCCTGTGGGAGTCAGCTGTACCACTTACTACAATGTGAATATTAGGGGTGTGTGTGTGTGTGTGTGTGTGTGTGTGTGTGTGTGTGTATAGACCTCTGAAAAGATCCAGGTAGACAGCCTTGACTCTCCTTGAAGAAAGCCCTGGCCTATTTATTTAATATTTAATACCAATGTTTCATAACCTCAGAAAATTCTACCGCCACTAAAGTATCACGCTTTGGTTAAAAAAATTTCTACTGAAATGCTTACACCATTGATATATTTTTTATACCCACATTGGCCTGGTCATTATTTAAATGACCCACCCCTGAACTGCCTTCATGCTTTTCATAAGCTGGTCATCAGATTGGTAAGCAAATTGTTACATAAAATATAAAACACACACTTGCAGAAGTTGTTTCCAGATGAAACAGCCTTAACACTCATGAATGTCTTAGTCTTTTCATTTGTTTTCAAATTTCTATCAGGTGATGCCTTTTTCATTAAAAGCTCCTGTGCTCATCTTTATTCCAAGTTTTAATCATCAGTGTTTAAGTATCTTGATTCTCCATGCTTCAACACAAAAAAATCTTCAGTCTTAAGTCCGTATCTTTCCAGAGCTTCACTCAGTTTCACTGGAGGCTCTAAGTAATGCTGGCGAAATGCAAAGAAAAAAGGGAGAAAAATTAAATATACACATGGGGGATATTTCAAATATAATTTCAAATTAAAACAATCAGCAGATGGCCACATAAAACAATGCCCTTTCTTTTAAGCGCAGCATTAGCATATGAGTCAATCATTTTTTAATAGTTTGACACTAACTCTGAAGTCAACAGATATGTCTGTTGTTAAGTGTCACAGTGCCTCTGAGATTGAACATCATTAGGTTACGTGCAATGGACCATTTTCACTACATGAGATGTCAATCTAAATGGGATCAGTGCCAAAACCATTAGAGAACTGAATGTTACCAACATTTTGTAAGCAAACAGAAGTTTAGACTGTGTGTGTACATAAGCCAATGCTAGAGTAAATGTTTTTGGCTGAAGAGAAGCTATTATTCTCAGGCTCTCCAGCTGCATAGAGAAGCTGCAGTCTGCAAAACGAAAGAGGGCCCCGAGACAGCCGCTGCAGGAGGAGTGGCCTATCTCCCTTTATGGTCTCAGCTTTTCATAGCCCGGTGAAAAGGGAAGGCAGCATATGGAATGTTCCACAATGTTCCCACCCATTGGAAATTTCCAGGTAAGTTGAGACTACTTGAATATGGAAATAAATAGAAATTCAAGTGTCTGACGAGGCTAACTTATTTCATTAGTTATTCCCTTTGGGTCTAAATCTCTACACTGTATAATAGCTATTTTGCTTCTTTATTCAAAGGCTTTTTTCCTTCAATTAGAAAAGCTGTAAAATTTGTAAGTGAAAAAGAAAATCCCTTTCTCTGATATAATCACCAGTGGCAAATCTGCCTCTCCCTTCACACAGCAAGCATCCTCTGAGTGTGTCCACGGCATGCCAGGCCCGTGATTGAACTAAAGCGCTTGTCCCTCCGGAGCGGCTGTCTAGCACAGAGACAGAACCTATTCAAAATAAAGACCCCAGCAATTTAGCTTAGATATTACATGATACCTAAAATTTGTTTCCATCAAAACTAGTGATTTAAATTTTAGGGCTTAAATATATCATCTAGGAAATCCACTTACTGTTTCTTAGATTAGATGTTGCTGTTTATATGCAATTTTACAATACTGCCAAGTTACAGACCTCATTATTCTGCTTGTATTACAGTGTGCAGCTGTTATAACTGCATATGTAGTTTTAAAGTATTTAGAAATTATAGGCTAAACATCTCTGAGAATCCTATTCACTTTATAATTTAGCAAATCCATAGTTTTCTAGTTTATTCAATTAACATCACAATGTGAACAGTATCCAAATTGCTAAAGGCTACATGAGTTTATTATTACCGACCTTATAGAGAAGTAAAGATGGAGGTTATCTTTCTAACAGGAATTATTACTGTATGTGCTGCCAAAGTGAGCACAGGAATAATTACTGAAGCATGAATACAACAGTCATTCTTAAAGACTGAGCTTTTGGTCCACTCCTCTTCCACCTCAGTAAAGAGCACACGGTCTACCCAATTGCTCCAGTTAAAATTCTTCATTCCTCTTTGCTTGGGTTTAATAAAACACTGTAACTTCTCTACATTACTGATAAATACAGTGGCACCTTGGTTTACAAACTTCTTTCCCCGATTCCGGGTGCAAAATGAACTGGTTGTGAACCGAATCAAATTTCCCCACAGGGTCAACACTGAACTTAACCACTGAATTTGATTTGCCTGTTTACGCCAAGGCCTGGTAAACAGCAGGCCCAGAATCAAGGTTCGGTAGACAAGTAACACTTCCAGCAAGCGCCCCTCCGTCTGAAGCCCCGCTTATCCGCGCCTTCCCAGCACCTCTCTCGTGCTGAGCGGACTCCTCAGCCCTCGCTGCCTCCGGGCCTGCGCCCTGCCCGTTCCTCCTCTGGAAGTGCTTCTCCTTATTTCCTCACAGCCAAGTTCAAATGTCTTTCTCCCACGAAGCTATCCCAATCGCTCCCACCAGCAAATCCACCTCACCCGACAACACTTCCCCTTCCAACATCTGGATCCACTCGCATCTTCCAGCTCTCACTAGCACAAAAGCCACCTTGAGGGGGGACAACGTGGTGGCCCGTTTTTCGACTCCTCAGGCTACATGTACAGATTTTTGGTGATATAAACACATGCTTTATTAACCACGGAAATAAGCCCAAGAACCAGCAGGCTGAGGCTTTCTTCACCGAATGTAAGTACTGTTTTACTGATCAGTATGACTTACCCCCTCACTCCACGTGTGACCGTGTACAGTCTGATTCTAGTCTGGCCTGAGAACCCTGCTAGGAGATGGATGGAGCTGCCTGAATCCCACCACTGGTCAAACACGCCGTCAAAGCTCTTCTTAGCATGAAAGAACTCACCTCATATGCTAAGGCAAAAGTTCCCCAGTGGATGGCCACAGACTTCTTTGCTTGAACATCAATGTGAATTCTTACAGCTTCTTCTGGGTCTACATGCTGGTATTTCATAAACCACCTGATGAAACAGCAACTTATTAATTTTGGCCTTGAACACACTCTAATTACTACTCATCTAAGCAACCTTTGAGGTTCTATGGGTGTTTGAGAAATTAGAAGCCAGTGTGGAGATTTTCACCACCCCCCCATTCCTTCACTGGATTTTGAGCCAATACACCAAAGATCCAGGCTGCCTGGCCAACGGCAACCGCAACATGCACTAGTGGTGATTTCAACCACTCCCATCACTGGCTCATCCAGCGAACTTGTAATAGATCGAGCTGCACAGCCTGTGCCTTTAGTGACTGTGATTTAATTTTACTAGGCTGGGGCAGGTGTTAGTATTTGTAAAAGCTTCCCAGGAGAAACTACCAGAAACAGAACATAAGCAACACTTTGGGGAATGCACCACAAAGCAACTCAGAAGTCAGGTCAAGGTTCGACTGTAAAAGATAAAATAAAAACATTCTAAATGGAAGTAAATCACCATAGACAAAACCATCCCCTTATAGTTCACCTTTCTGCTGGGGAAAAAAAAATAAAAATCTTTCTTACATAAATTACTACAAAGTTAGTTTCAAACAAAACTCTGAGAAGTAAAATCTTGTTTCATGTATATTTCAATTTTAATAAGACTTCTTAATCTGACTAAATACTAGATAAGAACTGGAAATCAGAATGCTAATTCCAAAAGAATCTGGATGTCATGCAAAAACCATTATTTAAAAACTTGCTAAAGCAAAAAGCAAACAAAAATTAATGTATAAATGTTTAAAGACCTGGAACAAAAAAAGCCATTTACTCTTCAACAAACTGATTTACAAGACAACTGAACCATGAAGTGTCTGGTTCAGCAGGAAGAGAGGATGGATGGTATCACCTGCTACCCTGGGTCCCTGCTTCAGTGATAATGGAAATTAAAGCCGGGGCTTTCAGCCTCAATTTACAGGAAAAAAGCTTTACCAGGAAAGTGAAAGAAAATGCAGGGATGATACAGCTCTGACACAGACCAAGCCAAACCCCTCCCAAAAGAGGGTAAGAGAAGAGGGAAGAGGGGCTTCAGTTTGAGGATGGTGATGCCCAAATCCCACCACTGGACAAACACAAACTGAAACGGGGAGCAGGTCGAAAGAGGTAGCCCACTCATGAAGAAAAGGGACCAGTTTCGTGGGGTGCTGTGGTGGGCTGAGGCCCAGTCGGTCAGTCTCTCAGTGCTGGCTTTGCAGCTCTGGAGGAATCCTCATGACCTGAAGGCAATTCAGTTAGGAGCGATAACCATCTCTACGTGAGGCGGTTCAGTCTTGTGAGATTCTGCTGGAATCCAAGGTGAAGACAGGTTTAGAGCAATGGAGATTTCCGGACATAGCTGACTGTCACGTGAATCTCATCCCGGTGTCCTCCTCTTAAAGGGAGATAAAGCAGCCTATGTAAAGTCGGGCTAATAAACCTGGTTTTGCCAACTTTTACACAGACACTTCCGCCAGGCATGGTGGCACACACCTGTAATCCCAGCACTCAGGAGGCTGAGGCAGGAGGATCGTTGTGAGTTCGAGACCAGCCTGGGCTACAAAGTGAGCTCAAGGCCAGCCTGAACTGCATAGCGAGACTCTGTCTCAAAAAAAAAAAAAAAAAAAAAAAAAAAATAGAGACATCCTAATCTGACCGAGTTTTACAAAATAATGGACATCTGTGGGCCCAAATGAAGAGTCAGTTTTAGCAAAAAACACTTTAAGTCCCTGTCTGTCTCAAAAGAAAACATAAATCATCCTTTTATAACAGGTTTAGGGCCCAAGAGTTTATCTGTCCTCTGTCCCGTTCCCGTGGCGATCTGGGAGAATGACAGAGATGCCAGAGGCCGTGGAAGGCTGCCCAGTGCCGCAGGAAGAACAGGAAACGCGAGGTAGCGGGGCGAGGGTGCGTCCTGCAGCCCCGACACGCCGGTGGAGGCGTCCCCATCCAATTCCCCAGGATTCCACCGGCTTGTCTGTACAAACGCAAACCTACCTAGTACGGGTGTTGTGAGGATCAAACGGGACAGAGTTTATGAAGGCGCTGCATATGGGAAAAGTACTATCTGTAAGCAAATCTTCCGCTCTCTGCACCATCACCTTAAAGAAGGCAAAGGAGCTCCGTCCTCCGTTCTGCACACCCTGGGCTGCCGCTGCTGACCCACACGACAGTGAGACTAACGGGGCTGTGCTCAGGAAGGCGCTGGGCATGTCGCAGCAGCATGGGGCAGCTCAGCCTCCCGCCGTGGGGACGGGCCTGCTCCCAGGTCACAGCTGCCGGGGCTCAGGGGGGCCCAGAAACAAAGCTACTGTGTTCTCCCCAAACAGGGCTTGAACAAGCACTGCTCTGCCCTGTCACCGGGCACTCAGAATGCAGGGCAAAACAAAAGCAGTTTTTGCTGCATCTGCTAGGTTTTTTTTTTTAAATTCTTACTGCAAATCGAAGGGCAAGTCACTCCTTTCTATCCTCACGACTACCTGAAATAATCTTAAACTTTTACTCTAATGTAACAATTAAAATAAAAATGTTAACTCCCAATTGACTTGGCTAGAATCCCGGGTGACAAGCGATCCCAAAAGTAAGAATGAAGCATTGTCTGCTCAGGGCAAGACTGAAAGTCCCTGCTAGTGTCATCCTCTCACACTTAGGGAGCACGTCCCTGTCCTCTGGAATGGATCCTTCACATCTCAAAGTGTTGGTTCTGACCAGAGAAATGGTTACACTGTAGAGGCCACCACCCTGGATCTGCTTAGAGCAAGTACGATCCGCTCTTCCCTCTCCCCCTTCCGAACAAAACAGCTCCCACGCAGGCGGGAAGGGAAGAAAGCATGCGTGCAGATGTGTGCAGTCTGCTTATCATCGCAGACTGGCAAGTATCTATCTTGCCATCTTGACAACTTATTTTCATAAGAGATACCCTAATACGGTAATAACATATACTGCGTGATGCCCAGGATCATTTAAAATTGATTTGCAGTAGTCTTTTTATAAAAGATTGATGTTTTCATCAAACAGGTTTTGTTAGGAGAAGAGCTATTTAAGAGGAAATGTGAAATTCAAGGATTAATATTGATTTATGGTAACTGTAACAACAGGAACCAGAAGAAAAGGTTAAAATACCTGGACCCTACCACAAGGAAACTAGGAAAAACACAAAGGGCAGAAATGAGTGTTAATGAAGACACAGAAAAATATTTTTAGTGCATTTAAAAGGCTAACAAGTATAAAACAATCCAGTGAAACACAAGATCGGATTCATCCCATGCATCTATGTATTATGTATGAGAGAAACTCGAGGTGTTCAGCCTACGTGACTTCTTCAGCAAAGCACACTTGTGTGTATCTGTGCAAGCACTGAGGCCTAAAATAAAGCATTTTCAAGTTAAAAAACTTTAATTACCCCTTAGTTTGCTATCATCAGTATCTGTTTTCTCTGCACTCATACATATAAATCCAGAGTGTAGCCAGGTATGATGGTGCATACCTATTATCCCTTCCACCTGGGAGGCTATGGCAGAAAGATCGAAAGTTTAAGCCCTGGCTGGGCAACTTAGCAAGATCCTGTCTTGAAATAAAAAATGAAAAGGGGTGGGGACGGAGCTCAGTACAGGGTCCTGGGTTCAACTCGTAGTACCACGCAAAAAACACAACAACAACAGAAAAAAACAGAATGGACTAAAATCCAATTGTTTAAAATCACTTCTCTTTTCCCTAAACAGGCAGTGACTGTGGCCAAGGCCGCCAATGGAGTCTAAGTGCTGAGTGCACAGGGGCTGAGGTGGCGGCAAGGCGGCAGCTCAGGACCAGACTTGCCCTGGTACAGACGGAAGACCAACTTAGGACACCAAGGCTGCAGGCCGATGCCTTGCTTTCTCTCTCCGCTAGATGTGGCAGAGGCACTGGACAGGGAACGGTCCGATCACAGAGTGAAAAGTAGTTACATAAAGAAAGAATCCTCTACATGAAAGGAAGAGCAAGAGTTAGGTTCCAACACTGGCTGACAAGTTTAACTTCAGATGGAGTGGTGGCTGATGTGTACTCAGTCTTTACACCTGGAGCCTTCTTTGTTGGTAATACCATTTCTGATTTTGAGTCATTTGACAGATATAACTACAATTAAAATATTTTAAAATATTTAAAACCTAATTGAATCTGACTCACCAATCCCCATCAATGTGTAACAAAGTTCACCAGTAAAATCACAAATTACCTAGAATCACAAAATCATAACCATTAAAGTCCACTGGGGTAGGAAAGCTTTCTTTCGCAAGTTTACAAACCTCGGTTCATAAGCTCCAATGGGAATAGCTGCAAGGTCAAAAGGTCCAAATCTTTTTCCTATCTCTTCAAATGCAGAGCAATAACCAGTATCTCCTGCAAAAAAAAATCGATTCCAAGGCCCCAGGACAGACCAGCTGCCCCACAGAACCTTGTTGTCATCCATCAGGGTCCTTTTACACCAGTGCTGGGACGGTGTAAAGACAAAGGTGACCTGATCGTGGCCAGGGACACAATTCTCCTCCCACCAGTCCAGCTCAATGACATTCTCACAGCCACATTTCTGCATCCAGTCGAGGAGACCCAAAGGCACAAACCACCTCAGTTCATTCCCGAACCGCTCGTTCAGAGCGGTGACAGAGCTGTAGTCCAGGTGGTCGTAGTGGTTGTGGCTGATGAGGACGGCGTTGATCGGGGGGAGCTCGGCTATCGTGCACGGAGGAGGCCGAAATCGCCTTGGACCCATGTACTGGGAGGGAGAAGCGCGAGAGCTGAAGATGGGATCCGTGAGGAAGATGAGCTCGTCCATCTCGACCAGCAGCGTGGCATGCCCCAGCCAGGTGACTCTCAAGCCTGCCTCGCGCACGCCGGCTTCTCCGGGGTCATCAATAAAATACGGTTTGAGCACTGGGAGTTCTTTGTCGAGTTCCTGAGTGTATAAAGACAGGAAGACAAAGCAGCAGTTAGGAACAAAAGCTATTATATCATCACAGGACACACTCTGACCTAAATTATAGTGGGAAGGGCTATTTTGGGAGAATAGGAGACACTGAATAAACCTGCTATTTCTGCTTTCCTCTTGGAAATGCATACTTAACTTCTTTCTGGATCTGACTTAATTATAACAGTATTACAGTACTTTTCCTACTCCCAAATGCAGCAGGCAGAGGGGAAATTAAATTTAACACTTTGAATTTTTTTTTTTTTTTTTTTGGTTTTTCTCTGGTACCGGGAACCGAACTCACGACCTTGCGCTTGCCAGGCAGGCGCTTTGCCGCTGAGCTAAATCCCCAGCCCCTAAATTTAACACTTTGAATACTGTTAAATTTATTAATTTCTCTGAAGGCTGTCTTCTGAAATGCCAGAAGTAGACTGGCCTAGGTGCAGCATTTGCTCCGGCCCCTTCACTCAGCTCGTGAATCTGCTGCTGAAAACAGCCCAGGAGCAGGCCAGGCCCTGGCAACATGAACAGGATTTGCCGTTCTTGGGTGGCAGAGAAGAATCTGACGTTTTGAGTGAGTAAGGTGGGGCGTTACCGTGATTCCTGGGCAAGTCACATTCATAACTGGTTCTTCTCATTCCTCACCCTTAAAAGGTGGGCTGGAAAGGGGGCAGGTGTGGGGGAGGCTAGGGAAGGAAAACTGAGAGGTCACTGGATCGGTCCAAATGGGGAGCAGGCTGGCCAGGGAAGGCAAGAGGCAGGACAGGTGGAGGATAAAAAAGATTTCTCTTACCCACACCAAGCCTTAGTTTCCTCACCTGGAAAATGGGTATAATAATTGTACTTCATTGCTGGGAGAAGTGAGTTAGGAGTGGCTGGCATACAATAAGCACTCCATGAATAAGCCAGCTCCACCCCTCCCCACAACACTTTGAAAAATATTCGGAAAATACATGAAAATATAATGATAACAGTCATCCATTATATCAATATGCAGTAATTATAACTACAATAACACTGGGCTACTTTTTACCAGTTGTCCTGTTTTATACATGACTAAGATCATAAAGTATCCATACTTTCTAGTCTTACTTTTAAATTTTATATATCATGACCTTTTCACCTATTACTACCAGTCTACCAGACACATATGAAAGTATTTTTTTAAAAAGTGAACAGTAATGGGGAAGGAGCTCAGTGGTACAGCACCTGCCTGACATGCACAAGGCCCTGGGTTCAATCCACAACAAAAAGAGAAACAAAAGGTAAAGCACAAGAAAAAAAACTTGAAGTGTACGGAAGATTGACCTGCGAGATTCAAAACATAACTAATGTAGCTAACAGTCATTTCAGAATAAAAACATGGTGGAGGAAATCTTTTAAAGAAATAGATAAATTTGCAAGAAACACAGAAAACAGACTTTCAGAGTGAAGGGCTCATGAAGCACTGAGCACCGAGCATCATGGTGAAATTTCAGAACAACGATGCCCAAGAGATGACCCTCGAAGTTTCTGGGAGAAAATAAAGGCCATGTAAAAGGTTCAAGAATGAGAATGGCACTGCATTTCCCACTGAAATACTAACGGCAAGGTCACAGAGATTGAATGCTTTCAAATTCTGAAAGCAAACTAAACTCTACACCCAACTGTCAATCCAGAGTGAGAATAAAGACACTGCAGACAAGCCAGGTTCCAAAACACTTGCTTTCTGGGTACTCTTTCTTGGGAAGCCCGGTTAGAAGTGCTCCCCCAAATGAGAACACATACAAGGGAGAAATCACAGGCCAACAGGGAGGAGGAAAAGAGCCCAGGACAATGGTGTGGGGACCCCAGAACAGAAGTTACTAAATATTAAGAAGCAACCTGTTGTATACTATAGTATAAGCTGATGTTTCATTTTTTTTCGAAGAGCAACCTGCTCTTTAATATCACACATCTAAGAATGCACTACATTTTCAAAGTACTTTCATGTGTCATGTGAACCTCAGTATAATCTACTGACTCAAACTAGATTGTTCTCACTTTATGGACAAAAAAAAGATGGAGTTTCGTTAGTCAGCTTTCCATTACTACAATATCTGAGAGAAATCAATTTACAAAGAAAAGTTCCTTTGGCCCACAGTTGGGGGGCTTCCATCCACAACCAGGTGGCCCCACTGCGTGTAGGCCTGTGGCCAGTGGCCCAGCGTGGCAGGGAGAGTGGGAGATGAGGCCCTCACCTCACAGGTGCAAATGGCGAAGAGCAGGACGGCAGGATCCCACACTCCCAAGGGCTCCCCTAGTGAGCGGATGACCTTCCAGAGGCCCCACCTCCTGGTGGTTTCACCCTCCCAGTAGGGTTTCGAGGGGTACTTAAGACACAAACTTCAGCAGAACTCTTGAGGGACTATCATAGAAATAGGTCGCACAGTCAGCAAAGAACCCTAACCCCGAACCAGGTTCCTGAGCCCCTGGTGCCCTACTCCTCCCAGCTGGCCTTGCCGCGGCAGCCTGACGGCCTTGTGTAGGAACCGCTACAACAGCTGCCTTCGATGAATGAGACCCAGAAGTGCCTGCCTCTCTCCCGCTCTCAGCGACCATCAGAGAAGACCACCAGCCAAGCACAACAGCAAAAGGCAATGGCACCACCAGAACGACGAGCGGCCTGTGACCTAGAGGACACAAACGTCAGCAGTGGCCCACTGTTTTCTGACAGGCAACTAAACCATGTTGCCTGAGTATGACACACTGGAGTTTCAGCCACAGCTTCTAAATATACACGGTTCTTCCCAACCTTATTCCTCTTTCTAAGAGGTTCAGCAGAAGGAGAAAACAGAAGTTTTCTTATTTCTCTGTCCCCTCCTTAAAGCTGAAAATATAAGGTTCCATCTAACAACGTACTGCCTAAGGGGCTTATGTATTATTGGGCGAGGGTGCAGATCAGTGGTGCAGAGCTTGCCTAGCATGTGCAAGGCTCTGGGTTTGTTCCCCAGCACTGCGAAGAAAAAATGCACACGCATAAATAGATATAAATATCCCATTAATCATTTCTAGTAACCAGGATTAACACGTGCATGGCAAGGCTGTAACTCATATGTCTCGCTGCCAGGCAGCTCTGATTTGAACCACTGTTTCCAGGGATACATGCATACTGTCTCATAGGAGACTTGAACCACTGGTGGTGTATGTATGATGGTCTCTTAAGGCGACTTACACTGCTTCTCAAGGGGTCTTTCATTACAATAATGAAAGAAAGGTGTTGATTTAGCAGAGCAGATGTCATCATATTATATTCCTTAAGGATAATATTAAAATGGTATTAAAAAAATTGTAACGCATGCTGGGCATTGTAGTGCATGCCTGTGACCCCAGCCCTCGGGAGGCTGAGGCAAGAAGGTCCCCATGAGTTTGAGGCCAGCCTCGGCTACATAGTGAGTTTAAGGCCAACCTGAACTACATAGAGAGACCCTGTCCAAAAAAATCCCAAAAAAATGCAAAATACTGTAATGCAGCTAATTTGTGGTACAGAAGCTATAAATGCATATTATATATATACTGGGAGTGGTGTGCTTGTAAGATTTCCATGTTAAGATTTAGAGTTT